CAATCATAGCTAAAAATTGATCATATTCTTAAAACATATGTATTCTTAAAGTTGTATACCTAAACAAAGTATTAGAAAACTTCACGTGTATACGCGGGTGTTCAACTATTCGTTCCTAAATCCTACTCGCCAACGGTCGTATTGGGGCATTGCCAAATACCAAGCCCATGATGGAGAAACCCCAAAATACTAGACGAACAATTACCACAATAGCCATTTGAAAAAATACTGATCAATTTTTTTCAAAAAAAAAAAATATATACTGATCAAAACGATCATTTGTTCACGCTCAAATTTACACAGATTAATACTATTGAAATTCTGCATGTCAATGATAATATAAATTGTAGGTATGAGCCAAAATTGGAGATGCTCATGGAGGATTCAAATCGTTTTTCTAAAACGGTAAGAAACATGCTTCAACAAAAGCACACTTTGCTGGATTTTCTTAGCTGCGAAATTGGAGATGGAGAGTTAGCCTCCTTTTGGTTTGATTCTTGGACAGATCATGGTCCTCTCATAACTTATATTGGTGAAGCTGGCCCTAGATTTTTACGTGTACGCAAGGATGCACGGGTAATAGAGGCAACAATAAATGGAATGTGGTATATGCCCTCGGACAGAACTGAAGAAATTCAGTATTTTCTCATTTCTCTTACGAACATTGCAGTGCTTAATGTTGGTAGAGGATGTGATAAATTCCTATGGCGCAATACGGCAGATGTGTTTACAAAAAGGTTCTCCTCGAAAGATACGTGGGAGAAATTAAGGAATCCATCTCCTATAGTTCCTTGGGCTAAAGTGATATGGTTTTCTGAAACTGTTCCTCGGTTTTCGTTTGTTACTTGGTTGGGATTTCTTAAACGACTTCCAACAAGAGATAGACTAAAAAGATGGGGTATGAATGTACCACCCGAATGTATTATTTGTGATTCGGGTATTGAGAGCCATAAACATCTGTTCTTTGAATGTGTATTCTCCGCAGGAATATGGAACTCTTTTGCCTCAAGGATTTGGCCTAATCCTCCGATGGATCTACATGATGCAAGTTCTTGGATTTCTCAGGTTAAGCCTCAAACACAAAGACAAACCACATCCATTATCAAGCTTATTCTCCAAGCCATCGTTTACTCCATTTGGCGTGAAAGGAACGCTCGGATATTCACCGCTACCTCGCTGCTCAACTACCATCATTGCCGATATTGATAGGTGCATAAGGGACCGTCTAATCTCGATTCCGCCACGCAACGCAATCTCACATTCTCTCCTCCAATTCTATTATGGTTTTATTACATTACCTTTTAATTAATTGGTTGTCGTTCTAAGTTCCATGGGTATTTTGCGTTTGTATAGAGTAGATTAAGTTGTACTAATCATAAAAAAAAAACAGAAAATGGTATAAATCTTCACATTTAAACCCAAAAAAATAAATTGTAGCTATCAACATAAAATACGAAAATCATATTTAGATCTACGAAAAACATATTTAGATCTAATCATTATATATTTTCGTTCTTCTAATTGAGAAAATTTGTTTGCCAGAAAACACTATTTATATTTATCAAACAAATATTTGGGGATACATCAAACATGTGAAAGTATTCCCCAGAAAGGCAGAGCACGAATTAATTTCCCTTTTAATGTGACTCTAAAAGTAAGGAAACGATTTATAACAATGGGTCCAACATTATACGGGAATCGTCCTTCCTACTCATAGTCTTTCCTTGGTCAATATTTCTAACTTACATTTGAACGGATCATATTAACCTCTTTCACCACCATCCATTCATTTTTTGATTAATTAGGTGAATATTATGTTTTGGACTTATAATTAGTTGAATAGCAAATTGTTGATCCAATTGGACAAAAATACCCTTAATTACATTATAATAAAAAATAGTTAAAAAATCAGTAAATTTGAGCCGTAATTAAGGTGAATGTGAAAAAACATACCCAAAAATATACTATTTCTATATCTGAAAAATTGCCTTTAAAGCATCTACAAAGAAAATAAAATTGGATTAGAAAAAAATATAGTTGACTATTTCGAAACTACATATTTTGCTGTCTTAAAAGATAGTTAACTATCTCACACTATTTTGTAACTATTTAAAACATAGTTAGCTATTTTTTAGAAAATAGTTACTAATTTAATTGTTAAAAATATAATTAATTATTTTCAAAACATAGTTATCAACTCTACTAATTTCATGATATAGTTGGCTACATAAATTTTTTGTTGTGATAGTAACTTATTTAAACAAATATAGTTGACGACGTTAATAGCTATAATAGTTACACATACATAGTTACCTATTTTAATTTTAAAATATATATAAATAGTTAACAAATATCAGTTACCTATTTTGTATGTCGATCTCCATCGAACACCATCTTAATTCATGATTGTAGATTACGATCTATGGCAATGAAATAAGAACAAAGAAAATCTACGGTTGGAGATATAATCCATGACAACAAATTAAAATTGTATAATTGCAAAAAATGCATTTA